GGGCCAAATACATGTATTCAAGGAAGAGTAAAGGAAGTAAGTCTGAGCTTGGCCCGAAGACACGTGCAAGGGCCAGACGAAAGTCAAGGGTAACCGCCAAACATCAGGTAGTAACATAGACAAAATATTATACTAATTAGCAGAATATGACTTTTTAGCGTAATGCTGGGCGATAGATTCTACCTTTGTAGCTTTTATTGTAGCGTCCCGAGACCTCCTGATCGGTATAAGAAGTCTGTAAGCGCAGTTGGACAAATGCATTCTGAAGACGACAAGGCAAATAGGCCTGACCATGGCCCGAAGGCCATCTTACGTGCACAGGGGCCAGACAAATCTTAAAGGGATTGCGAAGTGTCAGGCAGTCATATAAACAAGGTATTACATTTATAACCACTAATTTGCGCTCTTTGAATTTTAGGCAGATCAGCATGCAACCTGCCAGGGTGCTGTTAATTATTTCAAAAGTATAAAAAATTTCCGTTATATTAGCATAATTCTTTACACCAATCTCAATGCGAGGACTATAAAACATTTTCCAATGATACGCCTGTTAACTGCGATAACATGACCTTGGTTTTATGTTCTCCTATTTATTGGTCGCCAACTTACTTATTTAGGTTCGTAGCCCATTTTTAATCTAGTTATTTCAACTCTCCTTATCGTATAATCGCCCCTGGAGGACTTTCTTCAACAAATTGGTTTGCCTTTTTTCTGTTGCTATTGTTCTGATGATTACAATTTCGATGGTCTGCTAAAGGTGTCGAATCTTGGATGACTTCATTTGTTCTGTGTAAAATCGATTTATTAGTGGTAAAAGTAATAATTCAGAAGCTCATCTTAAATCATGATCCTTCCTCAGATCTCTTTCACTTTTTATAAAATGTTGTCCTTCTGATGGACTCAGACTTCTCTCACTTGTTGCAGTCACTACAGGATGGAAGAACCAATAATTCCATTGGATCGCCTTTCGCAATGGATATATGCCATCTGTGTTGTAAACTTTGACGTGGATCTTGGGCAGACATTGGACTGTGTTTATCCACAACATGTTCAACTAACTGATGCTGAGCGTGTTTCCATTTGCTATCTTGCATTTCCTGATTCACATTCTTCGTGCGAAGGGAGTACACAATATCACTTCCGTTTCAAGTGCACTTCTATTAGTCGCTTTCTCTTAAAAAACTTTTTTTCGTTATACAAGGACTATTGTCCCTCGTTTTTGGTAGGTGTTTTGTTAATTAATCCACGTTGAGTTGTTCCATTTAAGCCTGTATTTGATGTCTGTTTTGGTTATGCCTTCTTTAAACAAGAAAAAGATTTTACCCAGCGGCGGAACTATTCTCAGAAAGTGGGTGTATTTGCTGCTTTACTCTGACGCTTTAGTCTGTTGTGATCCTATCTCCACTGCCGTTTGATGGTTTCTTCTACGAAGTTGTGAAAACTGTTTCAAATGCCTACTTTACACATGGCAAAGAGGGTATTGAAAAATGTATGTGTCTCCATAAGTATATTTTCACTTCTAAAATGACTGTCTTATCTCACATCTTTGTTTGCATATAGCCTGTGGAGATATTGATTCCTGGCCCGCTCCAAAAGCTAACAAGCAGCTCGCCCTTTCACTTCTTGGCATGACGTATTTTCTTCGAATACCTGGCACTGCTAGAGCGACTATACCCACGTCTGAATCTCCAGTTAATGGGGATTCATCCTCGAATAAAGAGGGCGAACAAGGTTCTGTCTCCTCCTCTAGCTTCTCCTCCCTTTCTCTTTCCCCGTTGGCTGAAGCAATTCTTGACTGTGTTGACCAGACGATTTCCAGCAAGTCTTTCACGGGCATACTGGGCAAGCACTCATCTTCCAGAAATCCAAATTTATCCATTGATCGTATTCCGGTAAATTCTTTCTGGTCTTGGTTTAATACCTAATCAAACCTGTTTCTGTCCGTAGGGTGTTCATAAATGTATTCTATGCTTCAAACATCGTGCGTGTTCTAATGTCATTAGGCCGCATAAGTACTTAAATTGTCTTTGTTTCAGTAGCTTCGAGATCTTCGAAATTAAATATGTGAAATCAAAGAGTTTATTTACATTAAAGTAACTTTACATTTTAGTTATTGAGCGTTCACGAATAAGGTAGAATTGTATTCTTCCGTGTAATTCACACATCAGGTCTGTTGAATCCCAGACATCCCTATTCGCGTCGCCCGTTGCCTCCCTCAATTATGATTTGCCTTCTACCGGTATCTATGCTATCCAAATTTTCTCCTCTGAGTGGATTGATCCCACCCAAGCCGGTTTGAGCTATTATTTGCTCACGTACTATTGAGGACTGACTCATTTTTGAAAATGTCCACACATTTTATACCGCCTTTAATCATTTCATCATTTTTACTTAGCTTCACTAATGACATCAATCGTGTCACAGTTTGAATTCGCGAAAATTGTTGTGAGTGGGTGTGCATCAATAGAGGCTCACGTGATTTGTAGCTGCCCAAAAGTGATTTGCTTCTTTTCATTGAATTAATCAGGTCTTTGCAAATTGGAAGTACCCTTTATCAGATGAAGCAATGTGATTCCACTGCCTCGACATTCTCTGGCACTTTTCCTCACCTGAATATTCAAAACCAGGATAAATGCAAAAGATAATTGCTTATGCTACTCGCTCTCAACTGCTCCGTTGTTAAGATGCTACTGATTCCATTCACTCTTTAAGTGTTTCAGTAATTTTATTGGTGCTGCGATTTTTTTATGGGATATTTTGTACGCTTCTTGGAGTTAGTCGCGACCCTTAATTATTATACTTCTGTATTGAAATTTAATTGTGGTTTAAAACCTAGGTGGCTGGAAGCTCTCTGTTCCGAAACACGATTGGTCTCGATGTAGGCATGAGGCTATCCAAATTAGGGGTAGAATCGCCATATCGACTAGCATTAGCTCCTCCTATTATTTCCAACTTACAAAATATAAGTGTTGAGTTTTTTTTTGAGTGCGGACATTTTTAGGCATGGTCTTTTAGAGTATTGCGCTATGATTTGTAAGTGAACGGTCGCATGAGCAAGAGAGCTATCTTGCCAACGATTACAACTCTTGATTTGCCGAACGCTTCAAAGGAGCAACGAAAGTTGTTCTCACAATGCAACCCAGTTTCTTTTACTTTCAAAAAGAGCTGCATTGTGATATATTTAGGAATGTTTCGCCATCATTTCATTTTTGGTCACTCTGCGTCGTTCTCCATTGTTTATTTTAAAGTGACCCTGTATCTGTTTTTTCCCGAAATGGAGTTAATTCTGCCAAAGTCGAAATTTAATAGTGAATTGGTAAAGTTTCATGACTTTCTTTTCAGATTGGACTCCACCCGTTCAGATGACTAAATTTTGAAATTGATTTACTTGTGGGTAATTTTGACTCCTTTACCAACATTGATTTGTGTTTTACGAGTGTTTTTTATCCATCTTTGTATGCATTACTGGTTCGCATTTTTCATCCACTTTTTGTATGATCAGTTCTCTGTCATATGATTATCAACTAAGTCTATATTCTTGGATCTCGGCGCCGATATACATGTACCAGACAGGATTAAGTCAATCAATGATATGCCTCCGAAAGGGCTGCTATTTTGACGTTGTTGGCATTTGTCATCAATGTTGAAATTGCGCTTCCTATCAATGGTGAGTTTACACTTGTGCTAGTTCACGTTTGAAGTTAGGGCCAAAATTTCATGCTCTTTGCCCTTAGATATACTAAGTGAACGTCAAATAGGGTAATGATGTGTATGTATTACCATCATTTCACCTTGTTCTTCTAATCGGTCTTGGTTTCGTTAAGAGTTTTGACCTTCGAGTTGGGCTTCCAAGCACAAATTGCTAGTCATCTTCCTTCGAAGTTTGCTTGAATTCTCACAAATATATCTAGTAATTACCACAGGTTAGCTTATTTGGCTTGACGAGAAGTGTTGTGCTCAACCATTCCTAGCATAATTAGTTTGTTTTATTAGCACCTATGGGAGTAATTTTTCCATGCCATGTTCACCTTAACGCAACTCACCGGAACCATACTTTGACGACTTAGATAGTATCCTTTCGGTAAGCTCAGCTTACGTTGCAAAGTGCTGGTAGCCTGACACACTAGAAGTCGTCATTCATCTACTATGAAGTCACTGGAATGTTGCTTCCCTCATCCCCTGATTAGTCTTCCTCATAGACTATTGGTTGATGGTTTGAAGACATAAAGACTGCCTTTTATGAGTCAGTTATCCACTGCATTGCAAATGCATTAGGGGTTCGCCTCTACAAACTGATGCGCGTTGGTAATAGCGATTGCTGAATTTCGACTTATTTGAAATGCGCATTTCACTACTCTGAAGTTCTCATCTGTGTAAAGCATTGCGCGCAAAGTCCAACGATATCAAAGAGCAAATTTGTCGAGAAGCAATGGTAGACGTTGATTGATCTATTTTTGTTCACCTATGGGACTCGCAACACTAACCTAGTTTTGCCAGAGGGTGGCTTATAAAGTGACCCTTTTTAGTGTTCCAAAATGCGATTGTATGGTAAACAGGCGTCGAAGACAACCATGCCGATGGTAATGTCAATCGCATTAGTAGGAAGATACAATTGTCGGATTGCAAATGCTAGCCGGTTTGGTGTTGAGCCTTTTGATCTTTCGACAAATTATTAAAATGAGTGTTTTGAGGCCATTCCTTATTATCTATGATTCACTTGGCAGCTCTCAATTGTTCGCTTCCTCTTCGTAGCAGGACAATGAATTAGAATTAGTTACCTCGTGAAGATGGGCACCTTAGAATTGTCTCATTGAAATTGCTAACGGTCAGGGTGAAATACCTCTTAATGCTGTATGTTAAAATCTTCCAGGATAAGGAGTTGCCAAAAAGAATGCAAGGGATCGAAGTAAGCCTCGATTCTCGTCGCTACCTCCAAGCCTTTGCACCGGTTCTAGCTCATCTTCAGCGGCTCTGGGAGCTGGTAATAACAGCTCAAGTAAGTTTTCTTCATAAAATGCCTAAAATCATGTAATCACACTCTTCATAATTAACTTAATTATTTTGTGAACCAATTTTTCCTTGAAGATTAATTGGTCAAACAGCATGTCGTGGTTTTTGAGGGTATAATTATCCATACATCCGTCGGCTTTGTGAAAATGCGAACTCGGTCAATTGGCTTCCCACTCGACTGAATTACATCACTGTATGATGTGTTGTAGCTCTCATTGCCACTTTTTGTGCTCATCCCGCAGCACCAGGACATTATGCTTCCCCATCAAGATTATTAAAACCCACTTGTTACACTTGATTGAATTTACTCCACTTTGATCTTCCAAAGCCCCTCCTTGTGATGGCGCCTAATCCAAATCAGGCAAGTCAGACCGTACAGGCTCTCGTCTCCTCCATAGCGCCTTTTGCCTTCTCCGCCGATTACCGACCTTTTTTTACGATCTACGACACCGAATTTAAGGACGTTTCTCGCGGTTGCACCTCGAGGTAGCCAATTACTGGTTGTTTAGAATCGTTTCACGCAGCCCAATTTATCTGTTTGCTTTGAACGAGATGACCTGGAGATGTTATGTAATTACTTTAATAAGCTAAAAGCAATCATTTCCAGCCGTTGGTTTTTTGCGCCTGTACTTCATTTGTCTTAGTAGTATCTGAATAGCTGTTTTTTATGCCTCAAACATTCTTAAGTGCATCGAATTAGCCGTAATTTGACGCCTTGGTGTTTGTGGTTGGACTGTAAAGGTGTTGCGGAATTTGTGAAACTTGACTTTGAACGAGGGGATATTTTGCCCCACGTTACACGAAAAGCAGCATTTTCACATGCATACCTACCTAGCTGTTAAGATTCCTAACACCTTTCATTAGGAAATTTGGTAGTACCCAGCATCTTATTCTCCGCGTTAATTTATTTGAGCAGCGGCCTTTTCCTCTGGGATTATTTTTGCTCCATATTTTGTCCACAAGATCATACCATGCCTTTATGACCAGTCTACTTGAAGAAGGTACAATTGTGGAGCTCTTAAGTGATCCATTCCACCGTAATCGGCAGTTAAATAAGCAACGAATTCTGCGTGGCTCCGCATCATTCACCACTACGTAATCGGTGCCGGGAAATTTGGCACGAGCCAATCGCATTATGGCTCACCCGAGGTTTCGTCCTGTATCCGAACTGAATTCGGAGAAGCAGAGATATGGTTGTTACCCCACTTGCCCAAAACGTGTTTTAAGATAGTCCCATGGGGTCGATCTTCGCATAGTTGGTGTTTTTTTACTAGACCAGTAGATAGCTCCGCAGTCAGCTTGTCCGAATGACTCACGGTCAGTGTTGGTATCGTCTGGTGACTATTGTACGGGGTATTCGCCTTAGGCTAGCGTCATTTCAGTCCTTTTATTTGGGGTCACTACCATCTCTCCTTTTGCCTATGGAATTCTTCCGTCCCACTAGGGTTTATCACACAGCAATGTAAATCCGGGCAAACATCCTTTCGGGTCAGCTTCTCAGCTACTTTTCCGAGGGCGAAAGTTGAAATAGGTAGGAGTATTATGAATTATAGACAGATGGAAGAGGTTGGGATTGCTACCACAAACACCAACTCCCTTCTAGAAGGCATGTTAATGGGACCACTAAGTATCCCCGCAAGCGTACTTAGCCGTGCATTGGTTGAGTATTTAGAAGTCTTTTCTTCCTTCCTTAGCCCAATAAAGATTCTGGGCGTAACCAATCCCTTCTTCTCCAAGGCTCTTTATCACTGGCCAAATGTAATCCGTCTGGGAAAAATTAAATGCAAGTCTACTGGTAATTTTGCTAGTAGATAGGTTAGGTTTTCTACCTAGCTATCGTTTTTTACTAATATGATTCCTTTTTTAGACAAACATTTATGTTGTGATTGCCGTTCCACCACAGACATTGAAAAGAAGAAGGGATTGCGTCAGCACCCTTCAAAGACATTGCTTGAGGATCTAAGACCCGGACTTTACTCACGGTACAAACCCTTCCTGAAGCGAGATTCAGGATTTTACAAGCGTCTAAAAAAGGTGAACCATCAAACTTGATTGCAAAATCGGTATGAAACTGTTATTACTCCACTGCACATCTCTACGTCCTACTACTCATTTGTTCACAGCTTTAATGCCTTGCAACTCCCTCCTTAGGCTCTTACGGATGGGACTCCGGACGAGTGCATTTCCCATGCTATCCATCTGTTCTTCCAAGAACTGACCATGAGTTTTCTCATACCTCTGGTACGTGCACGTTTGTGTGCATGTTGCATATTTCCATAAACACAAGCCATAGGATAATGGATCTTAATTAGGCGTGACAATGTGTGTATTTTTGTTCTTGATGATTGTTTGTGATTTATGGAATAAATAAACCGTAAATCGGTCCAGTTGAATCGATTTTTAGACAATCTTATTAGCGTTTATGGTGTTTTACAGCTTTCATCAAATTGTTTTTACGATTGAAGGTGCGATTATTTCGAAATTCCTTACAGAACTCAGATGGTCAAATGTATTTCGTCGTTCTTACTTTGTGATCATTTTAAAGAAGAGTTAGTTAAGACATAAAATGGCGAAATGGTAGTGGTACGACTTTTCATTTGGCTTTTTGGACTGATAAGTGCTATTGTTCCCGTCTGCTGAGATGTGATTCACTTGTTGAATCACACTGGTACCACAGCAGCTCAAAATTCCCATTCAACAGCGTAACAGAGGTGCTTATCTCCTTCAAAATTTCAGGAGCACTACCTATCGAGTCTCATGCCCCTTCATCGTGACATCTCTCCGTATCATGTGAGTAATCCGCCATTAGTCTTTTTGGGTTTTAAAATGGTTTGATTCAACCGATCTTCCCCCAAAGCCGATATTCTGTCTCCGTTTATGATGTCGCTTTCACTTTTCTTGATTTGTGCAATTAACTACAGTGCGTGCCTGAGATAAGTCGCTTCAACATGAACGATTTCTTTCGCACCCTGGACACAGCAGGTCCCCGGCTCACATGTGATGTCAAGGGTGATTGGATTGGTCTTTACAAGTGAGTCAGTCATTTCCCAATTCTAATCTGTTGTTGGCACTGCTTCGTCATTTTGGTGGCTGACAAACAGCTAACAGATGAAAGACATCTTCCTAGTTCACTTATTCAAGTAAGCAGATACCTTAGCTAGTTATTACGATTCTACTAGAATGTAGTGACTAGCTTAAGTCAGACCATCAAACCAATACCATTTTTCACCTCCGTATTTCGTCTACTTGCTCTACCCAACGGCTGGCTTAGCTCGTTGGAAGTAGTGTTTAGCTGTGGCGATATGGATTCCATCCTTCGATACTATTGCCGTGCTATCTAGTGGTATCGCACGTGTACTTTGAGACGTATCCAACAGTTTTCATATTATTGCTTATGTCACTTGGAGTTAGGTCAGGAACTAAAGTCGAGCTTTCTGAACTTTAAATGTCTAGTTTTCCAGCTGTTGGTGTTAACCATGTCGATCAGGCGAGCCTTGATCTTACTTGCACTTGCACAGGAGGCGTAGAATGGCAATTGTGGGCCAATTTTTAGTACTCTTTTACTGTATTTGGACGTAGATGTTGATTCATGATTAAAATAAGTCGGCACTTCCGACATCCATACAAAGCTTGAGGGAGTTTTCGCGTTTTGGCGTTTAGTGTTCGTATAAAGTCAATTGGCATACAGAAAAGCTTATAAGTAAATCAGGCATCCCTTTGTTTATCCTGTTATTCCTCAAAAAGACTATTCTTCTCTGGTCCTCACTTCATCCATTGGCTGAGTCATCGAGAGGGAGAAATTCAGAAGAAGTTGCATTCCCTCCACTTGGACGCGATCCTAAGGGCCAACTTCGAGCTCTGGACCAAGAATCGAACGGAAGTGGAAATCGTTGATATGATAATACAGCTGAACCAGCTCGTTGTGAGTCAAATCTTCCTAATTTAATTTTCTGTTAATAGAGCATTTACAACCGGGTCCAACACTAAACTTATGACTTCGAATTTCTGTTGTGCTTTAGCAAATTCACTCGAATTTTATTTGATTTGGCTTCACTGATAACTGATATCGAATTTTAGATTTTCTTCCTTATTTACTAGTCTGTTATTATTGTCGCATATTAGACGCCTATGCAAGGAAGCAACATCGGCTAATTTGATTGACTTCCCAGGACTAGGCTAAATGCCAAAACAGTTTGTAGCCTATGCAAATCTGGCCTCAGCCCATTAAAGCCACTTGTTTTGAATAGCTTAAAGTATTGTATAAATGGACGGAAAGAAAATAATCAAACCATTATGAGCAAATCATACACTGCTTCTCCGATACAGACAAGATACGGCCATACCGTCTGCAAAGTCGAGGGCATTCGTCGACAGATCGCCGTCCTCCTTAATGGTCTGCCCGAAGACCTGCGCCAAGTGGTTGGTAGCAGTAGTACAGGAACTGGGGCACCCATCAGTGTGAATGGACGAGACTAGTTCCCTACACCTCTGTAAATATGCACATACCTCACCTCCTCTGTTGTATGATTTGTTTCCCTATGGTGCGCCACTTTTCTCTGAAAGTTCACATAAATGATTACTACCTCGTTTACGTGTCTTAAAAGGTCGCAAAGACAGACACCAAGTCAAACATTCCCAGTCGCTTGATCTGAAACAAATACGCTTGATCTACTGATTAATTGGATAGTAACACGTGCGCCAGATGGAGCTATAATTTCCTAGAGGTAGCACAAAATACAAAATATCATGTCACGAAGGGCTTCTTTGCTAAGTTTGAAGATTTTGCTCTCACAAGCAAATACTATTACATCCTGAGACTGCCATAGTGCTTAACGCTTTCAATAAGAGCACAAATGATAATCGGCTGCAGTAGCGTAAATCGCGAATTCAACTCTGAGATCAATATCATCTTACCTTCACTTTGAATTCAATCAGTCTTTGTAACAAACCGGCTCCATGAAATAGCGAGATATATACAATTAACACTACCACCTTGCAGAAGACATTACAAAGTAAACAATGCATTCATTCATAATATTTACT